GTAACCGTGTCCGATCGACACCGTGTCCGAATGCAACTAAATGTGTCTGATAGTAACTGTGTCCGATCGGGATTGTGTCCAATCGGCACCGTGTCCGATCGGCACTGTGTCCGGACGGCACCGTGTCCGTACGGCACCGTGTCCGATAGTAAATGTGTCCAATCGGCACCGTGTCCGATCGGGAATGTGTCCGATCGGGAAATATTGTCGTGTCCGATTTGTAATGTGCGCAATCGGGACTCACTTGCCGAAATGTGGTGCAGCCGGGGGCACGAAATGCCACTTCACACCGTCATTCGCGAGGATTTCTTTGAGGGAAGGGTTGTTCATAAGCGAGCGAAAGCTGCATTGTAGCTCGCGGTCCGCACCCCAAAAGTTCGTGCCATTATCGCTGTACATGTCCGATGACAGTCCACGTCGACTGACAAACCGATGAAATGCGGCAAGGAATCCATCGGAGGAGTAATCCTCGACACACTTGAGGTGGATCGCCTTATGGTGCGTTCGGGGAGACGCTATTAGCGCTATGAGACACTAACGCTATGAACCCCGTTTGGAAAGCCAATAGTATGATAACGTTAGCATGCTACCCGAACGTACGCGTAGCGCTAAGCGACAACGTTTGGAGAGCGCGCTATTGTTGTGTATTGATGATACAACTGTGACAATATGGATAGAGAAAATATTAATCCGTTAGTGCAACAGAATACAATTAAAAATGGAATTATTGCAATTTTGCAAGAACTCATCGATCGTTCATCATCATCAGAGAGTGATGATGATGAGGTGGAACACATTATGTATGTAACGGAAAGAAGAGAAAAGTTGCCAAGATTAAAAAACTATGTGGAGAATATTATTCCAGCCTATAATGATCAACAATTTAAGTCACACTTTAGGTAATTTGCATTCTACGAATTATACGTGTATTTTATATTATGTAAATTACACTCAATTTATCATTTCTGTTTTAAATTATGTACATTCTTATATTTACTAAGAGGTTAATTTTGTACTGTTTTCTGGCACAGAATAACAAAAAATACATTTGAATATGTATTAAATCTTATTGCTCCGAGATTAACTAGAACATATGCGGAACATATGCGGGACTAGACAACCAATGATTTCTCCCAAAAAGCAATTCTTAATTGTAATTTGGCGTATGGCAACACCTGATTCCTATAGGTTAATATTGTTTATGAAATTCAGATTCACCTTGAATGTCTCTGTGGTTATTAATTAGTATCTTTTTAGATCTATATCTGAAAAATTTGACGTTAGTCGAAGTACTGCACTTATCGCTACAAGAAGAGTGATAGAAGCCTTATATGAATTGGCACCATTTTTCATTAAATGGCCATCATATAACAATGCTCAAACAATTTGGATTGGATTCGAAGCTGCAAGTGCTTTTCTAAAAGTAATTGGAGCGATTGATGGCACCCACATTAACATTCCAGCTCCACATAACGAACCAGCATCGTATGTAAATCGTAAAGGACACCATTCTATCCAATTACAGGTTTGTTATGTTTGTCCTGACTGATTAAGATTTGGTTACATTAATATTATTTTAGTTTTATAAGCAAAATTTAAAACTGCATATGTTTGTTTCACCAAGGCAAAAGCGACAATTTTAAAGTTAACAGTTGTTTACGGCTTCTATAAATCCTGCTTAAGCCTAACTATTGAAATTTCTATGTTGATTAATATATTTATATTTTTTCTGAATTTTTAGGCAGTATGTGACCATAAAACACGCTTTCTTCATTGCTACGCAGGTCATCCAGGGTCTGTGCATGACCAAAGAGTGTTCAGATTGTCTGAAGTGCAAGAATGGTTAGGAAATCCAGAAAAATTTCCTGAAGATAGTCATATCCTTGGAGATGCTGCATACAAATTGCATCAAAATGTTATTGTTCCCTACCGAGACAATGGGCATCTTACTGCTAAACAAAAAAACTTCAATTTTTGTCATTCCTCAGCTAGAATCGCTATTGAAAGGGCTTTTGGGCTCCTTAAAACAAGGTTTTGCAGTATAAGGACTGTTCTTGCAATAGATAGAGTGGATTTAATTCCGATGTTTGTGATTGCATGTTGTACGATGCATAATGTTTGCCATTTAAGGGGGGACAAAATTGAACTAAAATTTAATGAAGTAGAAGACGACAATATTCCTTTTCAAGATGCTGCACAAGTTGAACAAGCAGGTCTTGCCAAAAGGGATTTGATTTGCGAACGTTCCTATGCGACATGTTTAGGGATGTTCTATAATCAGTTGCAAATGCCTTGTCGCCAGTCGCAAACGACATAATTGACGAATTACATCGCAGTATCACAACGTTAGCGACTGGCGACAAAGCATTTCCAACTTATTGTAGAATCCTCTTTAAAGTAACCTTGTAAATCAACTATTGATTGTAATCAACACTCTGATGTCATGAGAACACATTTATTTGAACACAATATTACTAATTCATATTTCTTTGTTATTGTATTGGCACAACTCATGTGTATGAAACAGGAATCATCTAGTGCCAAAGCCAGAATATCGTTTTTTTCTTTTGTTTCAAATTTGATATCAATAATCTAGTATAAATAATTTGTTTAATGCACTGTCTCTTTGTCAAGAATAAATATAAAACTGATATAAAACCTTCTAATTTGTACTAAATAAATATTATTCTAAGAACTGTGTTCTTTCTCTTTTACTAATAAATTAAATTATGTCGACAGAATTGTACAAAATTTTATATCAAATAGCATAGAAAAGTTATTACACTGTTTCAATAACAATTATTTGCGTAATTAGTAAATAATTATATGCAGAAATTTCATTACAACAAAGTACTACATACAAATGTATGTTTATTTATATAAAGATGGATCTATTACATTATCAGGTACATTATTTTAGAATTATCCAAAATAACTTGCTTACTATTAATATTTATTATTAAAAAATAAATATTTGTTTCTATAAAAGTATTTCATATACTTAACAACACGTAAATGCCCACTCTTAAAACAAAATAAAAGAATATCTTCCTATTTTAGAAATACTGACGGGTATCATCACAGAATACTCTTAGGTGTATTATCACAGAATACTCTTAGGGCTTGAATCTTTAAAATATATCGTATACGATAGTCGACAAAAAAAACTTATAGCATGTGTAAGGTAATTATATAAAATCTTGAATATCATGTGCAAAATATTTTCGACAAAAAGAAACCTAGTTCTGCTTCATGCATCCATCTGACCTAAACAAGCAAAATCAAAATCACTAGACAAAACATACAGTTAGAAAAACCATACAAAATGAGAGATTAAAGGTAAATACTTTAATCCAAAAACATTACTTGTAATTTCTGAGTAAGTTTATCTAAAACTTCAAGAAGTTTAGCTCGCTGCTCTGTTGTCTGCTTATAACGTTGAAATTTATTTTCCTCGGAAATTCTTCTACTTTCAAGAATGGCTTCTGCAATATTATTGGCCTTTCTTTTGTGGCCTTTCTTTTGCAACCTTAAAGAAGTATCATTGCTGGAACTGCTACAGCTACCGTCAAGGGAACTGTCGCTACTTTCATTCTTCATTATTACACCTGAGGAGGAGGCTACAGCAACAGGCTTCATAAAAGGTTTCTCGCCTAATAATGATTCCATCAGTTCAATGTAAAGCCAGGCCCGTGGAGCATTTCCGGATTTTGAGTTATGATCTTTTATGCTTTTAAAGGTTTTCTTCATCCCGTTAAATTTGGATTGGCATTGTGGACCAGTAACGTCGTGTCCATGGCTACGAAGCACTTCACTTATCTGGTCCCATACTCGTCTTTGTGATATTTTGCCTACAAAAGAAAGATAAAATTTATGACATCATAAAGTATAAACAACATTATTAAATCAAATTTTATATTATTATTTTACCAGATTTGGTATCTTCTTCTCGCTTCCGAAATTCCTCAATAAAAAGGAGAATAGCCTGATGCGACCATTTGAAAGCCGAATCTTGTTCAGCATTCTGTTCTGAAGCAACATTCGGACTTAATGTTGTTGGGACCATGAGACCAGAGCTGGATGTAGCTCCTTTGCTCGTCTTTAAATCTTCCAATACTTTAGAAGCATAAACAATATCTGAAGATACAAAAAAACAAGTAATAGTTAATTAATTATTAGAAACAATGCTAATCATATTCAAAACATGGGACATATTTATTAAAAACATATTATTTTTACAATTGCATAGTACTTTAATTCCTATTAATATGTAGAAACATGTTATTACATTAATTTAAATGTAAATAAAGTTGCTTTTACATGCTATAAATAAAATCTTAATAATTATGTATCATAAATAACACTAAACAAGAACATAACCTCTTATACTTACCAGTTTCCACCCTTTTTACATCTTTCGATGAAAGATATGTTGTATATGTTATACCAGTATCAAGATCTTTCAAATTTAATTTTACAAGTGGATCCATTTTCTATTTACTCGTGATTCCCGTGATATCTAATACACTTTTATATCACAGAAAGCAACAGAAAAGGCAGCAAAAATAACAAGTGAACGCTGTGAACGTTCGGCGCCTCACCTCGAAGACGATAGCGAGAAATAGCGCGAGTAATGACGTCACGCTGCTTTTAGTGTGACGTCATTATCAATTTTATAGCGACAATAAGCGTCTGCTCGAACGGTCATAGCGCGCTTATAGCGCCAAAAGCGAGCTCCCCGAACGCACCCTTAGTGGCGAGACAAACGAAGACCGCCACGTAATGTTTGCTCCCCCTTTGACCACGGCCGACCACGGGGGTAATAATCATCGGTCCGGCGCGACGCGGATTTCCAACGAATTCTTTGGCGCTGTCCCGAAAGTCTGTTGATTCGACCGTATCGCTTACTCACCGTGACTTACGGCCAAAAGCCATCGCCATTCCTCGCGCAGCGCTGCTTTCTCCAATTAGCTCGGGGCGAATGTAAAGATTTCCCCGACGCGGTTTCAATATTCGAAGAATCGACCTACGTCGATGAAGTTCTTTTCGGAGCAGACGACCTTCTGTCTCTGCTCGAAAAACGCAAGCAACTCGTCGGCATAATAAATGGATGTTTTCCCCTCCGAAAATGGGCCGCGAATTCAGCCGAACTATTGACGGATATCCCGGAAGACGTGAATCCTCGGACTATCCGATCAATCGCGATGACACGCTCAAGGTCCTCGGCCTGTCTTGGTCCCCGCATGATGACTCGTTTACTTTTGTAATCTCGCCTTACGCCGTAACTGTTCATACTAAGCGCTCTGTTTTATCATTCATTGCAAGGTTATATGACCCCCTCAGATGGGCGTCACCGATCGTCATCGCGGCCAAGATGTTGATGCAAGAGCTCTGGCTCCGTAAAATTGATTGGGACTCTCCGATCCCCGACGATCTTTTACCTCATTGGATTAATTATATTATTTTACGGATTTGCCTCATATTAGTGAAATACGCATTCCCCGATGGACAGGGATGCGTCAAGATAAAATCGAAGTGGAATTACACGGATTCGCGGACGCGTCCATTCGAGCTTACGCCGCGGTCGTTTACCTCCGAATCGTGCATTCTACCACAAATATTCAGGTTACCCTCCTCGCGGCCAAAACGAAGGTCGCGCCGTTAAAAACCGTCAGCGTTCCACGATTAGAACTTAACGCCGTCGTTCTATTAACTCGGTTGTTAGATTGGGTAAAAAATTCTCTGCGCTTTTTGCCAGCGTCATTATTCGGATGGACTGATTCCCAAATCGCATTGGCTTGGATTCAGCAACATCCATCTCGATGGAATTCCTACGTCGCGAACCGCGTCTCCGAGGTGCAGACGCGCCTTCCGTCAGTACGCTGGCCGCACGTCCGTTCTCACGACAATCCTGCCGACTGCGCTTCTCGCGGCTCTACTGCTGTCGATCTCGTCCACCATGAATTATGGTGGTTCGGCCCCCCGTGGCTTAGAAAATCCCCGGCCTCGTGGCCGATTCTCCCGACTCCTATCGGAAAGGAAATTTTGCAAACGGTATCTTCCGAAACGCGCAAAGCTACCGTTCATCTCGTCGATCCAACTCCTGAGTGAGATCTGCCCACTTCGTGCTGGATCCGACTTCTCCGTATTACCGCATACATTCGTTTCATTCAAAACTTAAAAAATAAAGTCGCCTCTTCGGCGATCATCACGTCGCCTTTGACCGCAGAAGAGATCCACGAAGCTTCGGTCTTTTGGCTTCGATCGGTACAAGCGATTTGTTTTTCGGATGACTTGAAAGCTTTAAAAGCTCATGCCGCAGTATCGCGAACAAGTCCTTTACGCTCTCTCCACCCATTTATCGGGAAAGATCTATTAATCCGGCTGGGCGGGCGGCTCGAAAACTCAGCGCTGAGTTACAATGAGCGACACCCGGTCATACTCCCGCGACATCATATTTCTGAACCTTTGATCGATCAAGCACACCGACGCTCCCTCCATGGAGGGACACAACTCACGTTTAGATGTCTTCGTCAAATTTATTGGATAATTTCGGCGCGAAGCAAGATCAAATCTCACATCCATAAATGCGTTACATGCCTTCGATACTCCGCGAAAACGCCGACGCAATTAATGGGTGATCTCCCGAATCCCCGAGTCAATCCCTCTCCTCCTTTCTCTCACACGGGCATAGATTACGCCGCGCCTTGGTGAGCTAAATTTATCATGCCTCTTGCATTTTCGGCTCTCCAATCCCCATGATAAAATTCATCTGAAACTTCATCTTCTCTATCAATAAAGAAAGGTGGTGTATCTTGGGAAAATATGTTTTAAATAACTTTAAATTTCTTAAAAGTAATCTTAAAAATTTAAGAGTTTACTTAAGAAATTTTTAGGTAAATTAAAGTGTGTACAAGGTTAATCTAAAGTAACCTAAGAAATTTTAAAGTATTTCAAAACTGACTGTAAAATAATCTTAGAAAACCAAAGGTTTTAAAAACTGACTTTAAAATAATATTCTGGTACTCTAAAGGAGTGGAAAAGTAGCTTTAAAGTAATTTTAATAAATCTTAAGTAATCATAAGAAAACATTAAACTTTAAAGTTTTTTTTATAAATCTCGATCTTAACTTAAAAGTTACATGGAAGCAAACTTTTAAGGAGATTTATCTCATGTAGTTAAATCTTTAAGGTTTAAAGTTATAAAGTTAAAATTATAAGTATTTTAAAGTTGGACTTGGTTAGATGGCGCGTGTGTGAATGGTAGCGGTGAAAGTGTGTTGTGCAATTTTAGTTTTGTTTCTGAGTTTAAAGATTAGTGTGTGGCAAGTAGGGATAATGGAAAGATAGGGTGTAAGTAGGGGATGCGATGAGAATGAAGGGAGATAGTAGGATGCAAGTAGAGAAAAGTAGTAGAGAGAAGTGAGTGGTAAGATTGAGGTTATGCCATGGTAACGAGTCAGTTAGGCGGTAAATGGCGGTAATGGCCGGTAATGTAGGTAAAGTAGGGAAGGTTTCGATCGAGGTATTTTAAAGTTATAAGGTTTACAGTTATAGAGGATAACTCTTAAGTTATTTTCTTTATTGTTATTTCTATATTATTGCATCTGGAATTTTTAAAGTGCTTTTAAGTTTTAAAATAAGATATAAATATTTATCTTTTTTTTATATGTCTGTCCTTATTAGGAAAAAATAATTTATAAGATTTTCTTTAGTTTTTATAGTTTGGTTCCATTGAAACAAGTATAAAGGATAAAAGATTCGTATAAAAGATTTCAAGTAAAAAACAAAATTGTATTAAATTATTGTCAGGTTTAAATATATTAAGTAGCATGTTTTACAATAATTGCAGTATTTTAACTTAACAAATGGAGCCGCAAAACAATTACTTATAGAAACACTAAATAAAACAGTAAACCCAGACCAAAACAAGAAGCTCTCCAGCTATTAATAAATCTGGCAGAGTTGCAAATGAAATTTAAATTGTAAAACATGGGTGTACTGAATAATATTTTAAAAACACTTTAAAAATTTATAATAAATAAAATAATAACAAATTTAACTTACAGTAATGCTTACTTTACCCAGCAAATACAGAAAACACCGAGTGAGCAATTTGCTATCAAATTGCTCACTTGGTGTTTTCTGTGTTTGCTGAGTACTTATCTCTGTGAAAAAACCTTAGAATTATGAAAAGTAAATTTAGGCATTTTTAACTTTAAAATTGTCGAAATTTACTTTTCATAATTTTAAGGTTCCTTTTACATTCTTCTTGAAGTAAGTTGCCTTATAGTTATAAGATTACCTTAAACAATAGTTTTAAAGTGTCCAAATTTACCTTTAATTTTTTTTAAGTTTTTCTCTAAAGTAAGTTTTAAGTTTTTTTTTAAAGATTTCTATGGTAAATTTTTCCAAGGGTACATAGCTCGTCCAATAGACTGGCTTTTTAGCATGTTATGCAAACAACATGTAGCTAAAATAATTTTAGATGCGTCATCGGGATCATAGCGCATTGCGGATCGAAAAATTTGGAAACGAGCAGCCAACACTCCAAAAGCATTTTCCGAACAACGTCGAGCTCTAGATAATCTGCAACGCACGATTAAACAAGTATTTCAGTACTGTTGTAGCTCTTGACATAAAATTTAAAAATATAGTATGAATAGTTTACATACCTATAATTATATACTCTCCTGCTTTTCATCCCACTACATTGAGGTCCTGGATACGGTATTAAAAGTTTCTCTGACAATGGGAAACCTTCATCTCCAATAATTACAAAGGGAAACTTATCTTGTGTAAATGGCAACGGAGCAGGAGGAGGAATGTGCAGAGTACCACTAACTAAATGATTTTTTAGAGAGCACTTGTTCCAAACGCCAGAGTCACTAACTCTGCGATTAGTCCCCACATTAACATAAATAAAACGTAATTGAGCATCGACCAAGGCTAATAATACTACACTGTAATACTACACTCCTTTATAATTGTAAAACATAGATCCAGATTGTAAAGGAGGATCAATAACGCAATGCTTTCTATCCATTGCTCCAATTATATGATAAAAATTCCATTGCTGTCCAAAATCATTGCTAACCACACGCCATTCATCCTCAGTTTGGGGAAAGCGAAGAAACTCTTTTTTTAAAACTATAATTATTGCTCTTGTTACCTCTTTTACAATGTTTGAAATGGTACTTCTACCAAGTCTAAATGTGAGAGCTAACGATTCTTGAGTTTCTCCTTTACAATGACATACAAAATAAAGATTTAGTTACAAAAAATACTATTATTAATCGATTTGGTTTTTTACTTGTTGCTAAATGTCGCAAAGTAACTGATAACCTCTCACTAGGTGGAATGCTTTCCCGTAGATGAGTATTTTGTTTTCTAATTAGAGGAGTAACTTTTTTCAAGAGAAATTTAAAAGTGTCTGCATCCATTCTGAGACATCTAAATAATCAAATTTCTTTAAAATAAAACTTTGAAGT